GGAGCGGAGCGTGCAGCTGCCGGCGGATCGGGGCGGGAAGATGTCGGGCCAGTCCATCACGGACCGCATCGCGGCGGCGCAGCACAGTGTCACCGGCTCGGCCGTCGCCAAGGCCGTCTGCAAGGCCACGACCCACGAAGTCATGGGGCCCAAGAAAAAGCACCTGGACTGTGAGTGCGGGGGAGGGGAGCGGGGGCGCTGAGGGGAGGCGAGGGGGCCCCAGTGTGCCGCCCGCCCGCCCTTGGGGACAGCTGGGCCCAGGTGCTTGCCGCCCACCTGCTGCAGGGCACCAAGGAGGCCCTCAGCCTGGCCCGGAGGTGGCCGCTTTCTCTGGGGAAGGGGGTGCCTGGAGCTGGGTGCTCCCCCCGGGAGAAGAGCCATTGTTCTGCGTTTCTCCATGATGGGTGGGGGTGCAGCAGAGGAGCTGGTAATTTGGGTTCAGATGGGCCTGGCTGGGCTTTTCCCTCTCAGGGTTTCAGTATGGAGGCAGGGACAAGCCTTCTGCAGGATGCTTCCTGCTTCTCCACAGCTGGCTGTGACCCCCCTGGGCCAGCTGCTGTCCTTAAAAGAAGGAGCACTGTTGTTGCCAGGACTGCCCAGGTATCCTGCCAGAGGCCAAGGGTCTCTTAGGGTGATAGCTTTTATTGGCTGTCTCTTACTGAACTGGGTGATAGGTACAATCAAAGATGTCACCCTCAGAAGTGCTTCCCTCCCACTGAAAAGAAGGAGCTTTCCTGTCTTGGACCCTCGGGTGTGCAGGTGTGGGTTCAGTTTAGCTCCAGCTCATTCACTGGCAACTTCTTTTTGTTTCAAATAGGGCAGGGTTTGATGGTGGTACATATGACTCCATCTAGCTAGCGGTTTTCAAGGAGGCAAGGCTGAGTTGGTGCTCAGTGCATGGTGCATTATTCATTTGGAAAATATATATGATGTCCTGATGCTGTACAAACTTGGGTGCTCAGAAGTATCCTGAGTACTTCAGAACCAGGACATGGTAGAGCTCATAACTTAACTTGTTACTCCGTATGAAATTTTCCCAGGGATTAGGGGAAACATTAAAATAGGGAACTAAACCCTGGTTCCTGTAAAGCTTCCAACAAGGGAACAGTTTGTGTGTTGGATGAAGAGTTTATCAGATTGCTGCGATTTGATTCCAGATGATACAAGTAATAATGCAAGCAAGCGGACATTGGTTAGGTCTTTGGCAAACGGATTATGTGTTAGTTAATTTGGAGAGAGTGGTTTGGACCTCGGCTTAGCCGTGTAACTCACCTGTTAATGTTCATCATGAGGTTTGTTGATAGTGTGTTTGCTGTGGGGCAAATAGTTTTTAAATTAGTAAAAAATTCTTACGGGGGTTCTTTGTTGTGAATGAAAGTAATGAAGGTAACTAACTGATCGGGTGCCTGACTTAATAACTAGCCAGAAACCAACATAACAGGAAGCCAGAAAGTGGTGACAGTGTAGTGTTGCTCAATGGTTTGAAGATTTCTGCAGTTGATACACATTAGTGCATGGAATGCAAAAATATTATTATTACAATAATCCTGAGTCTGATGTAACCTCACAAAATGAGGAAATGGAAGTTGTTTGGCATCCTTTCCCCAACTTGTCACCACTCCGAATTCCACGGAGATTGTGTTGGCTGTCAGATTCCTTCGAATGTCATTTGATATGAACCTTTGTTCAGAAGAATCGGTTGCTTGCAGGGACTCATGTAGAAAGTCCTGTGCTTTGACATTAGTCACTTGGTCTGATTTTTCTTCTCTTAACAGAAAATTAGAAAGCCTGATATTATGGCTGCATTTCAAAAGTGGCAGAGCATCATGGGAGTTGTTGAAATGTAATATTACAAACAGTACCTTGTTCACTGGGATTTCACAGGACTCTTTTCATTTTACAGTTATTACTGGGCTTGCCATAGCTGTGTTGTGGATGTCTAGATATGCTATCAAAGAGGCTAGGTTACCTTTGACCTAATGGTTATTATTTGAATCACAAACTTGCTCGAAAACAAAACTTGGCCTTGCTTCTGTTTAAGGTAATTGGGTAGAATTTTAGAAGCTGTATCACGCTGCTTTCTAAAAAATTAACACAATAAATATACTTCCTTCGTGGAATAAAGTCAAAAGGTGGCTTGTGCCTTATGTGAAAATTATGCTGATTTTTTGTTTGTTTGTTTTTGTTTTTTGTTTTTTTAAGCCTGGCCCTTGCATGTACCTATAATAAAGACTGCTGCATCTAATTCCTGCTCAAGTAAGGTTTCAGGAATAACATTCCAGAGTTGCTATTGTTGCGTTTGGAAACTTGCCCAGCTTCAACCTACACTCTAATCGAGCTAGTGCTAAGAATCCTATCTTGACCCCTAAATATTAGGAAAAAGCACTTTGATATCAGATACTGGTGTCATGGATGAAAGCGCTACATATGTAATGTGTGTGCAAGCAATTGGCTGGTGCCCTAGAGGCTTGTCACAGAGCTGCTAAGTAATATAGCTATTTATTTAATTTTTGTTAACAAGGAATAAAAGCTCTGTGAATGAAAATATTCTATTTTAATATATGTCATAATGTCCTGAAAGTAAATCAGCAGCTCTATTTTTATAATAAAGTGTTAGACCATAGTAAAATAATTTTTACAGCAGTCCTTTTGCATTTCTTGTAGCGTGCTGAGGGCATCCCATTCTTTCTATCTTTCTTCAAGTTCTTTTATTTTCCAACTTACCCTTCCACCTCTAACTCGATGAATCAGTAGCTCAATGCAACTAGATGTGTTTTTTAGAACCTGTCAAAATCATTCAGTTAGATGAATAACACTTTTCCTGTTGGTTTTGTCTTTGCCCTGCACTTATTTTTTATAGTGGGCTGAATATTCTATCTCTGACTTCTGAAAACAAGGAAACAGGGAGCAGGTACTTGCTGGCAGTTTAAAACCCAACCACAAAAGCGTTATGGTAAATAGGAAAAGTATCTAAATCTCAAAAAGTGGTTGTGCAGGGGTATTAACAATAGTGTAGCTGTAAAATTGTGTTATACATAATATAAATTTGATATGCATTATGTAATTAAGCCTTGATTCTGAAATATAAAGTAGACTAAGCCAGCCCGTACCTCAATGTAGGGGTATCTTTTGGTTTTTTTGGGATTCTGTGTAGGCAGAAGGGTCCAGCCATCCAGCTCTGAGAGTCCTTGGTCAGTATATCAAATGCAGCAGTTCTTGTTCTGTTGTTGGGAGTGGGTTCATATGGGCTGCTGAATAATCTTGTTATTTGGGAGTGGGTTCATATTTGGCTTCTTCAGAGTTGAGTTTTGACACAACCTAGTGCTTGAGGCTGACTGCGTCACGTTTGCAGTAGGAATTCCATAGCAGCATTCTTGCCCATAGCATTATTGCTTACCATTTTTAGATGTTGGGCATAATATATATAAAAAGATAGTAACATTAGCGTTCATACTGAGGGTATTACTGTTGATGCTTGGAGTGAAAATTGAGGAAAGAATTTGATCCTGGTTCTAGACATTAAAATTCCAGGGCATTTTTCACAAGGTGAAGTAATGTGGGCTTGAAGCAAGTGTCTGTTCTGCCAGACATTTGGTAGCTTTCGGTGATATTTTGTTTATTGTTTGAGTAAGAAATTTGTAGGAATATACTATGTATTGATATATTTGATTGTTAGGGGAACCTCATAGAGACCCTACTGATACATTTCTGTAAAATATACTGGTCACAAGGATTTTTTTTTTCTTTCAGGGACGTTGTTTGCTTGGGCACAAGTTTGAGTTTTGTCTTGTCTATTTTCAGGAATCATGGGATTCTTTCTCCAAAAACGTATTCTCCCACATATTTATAAATAAACTGATGCTTTTAGTTGCCACTTGTAAGTAATGCACTGGTATATGTAGGAAAGTAAAGTTCAATGTATTCTGTTTTTATGCTTCAAAGAAATTAAATAGTAGGTGGGGGAGGGATGGGAAATAGTTGTAAGCATCCTGAAAATTCCTTGACATAAAGCCACTTGTTAATACAGCTATTTAGTATGAGTGACCCAGATTAAGTTCAGCAGCTTGCTAAAAGTATAAGTGCTACTGTATGCCAACATCCTCCATTACTAGGAGGAAAAAAAATCTTTCCTTAGCTTATAGCTTTGTGTAAATATAATGTTCCAGTGAAATGAGCACATTAATGATCCCATTGTCAGATGTTGTTTCTGCGCCATTTTGTAATAAATTCTTTACTGATCTGTCTCACTTCCTTATAAAGCAGTGCTTGTGCATTTAAATCCTCTTCAAGTATTATTGCATATGTAAATATAGGACAGGTGATGATAAAGCCTTGATGGAAGGAAATACACAGCTTCATTTTTACTATTGATGAGCTTTGTTTTTTAAGACAATTTTCCAATCAATTATAGTCAGTGTATTTGTGAGTAGACCAGTCTGTCAGGGACAGTCATTTAGTAGCTTTTATTGTTTCAAGGTAATCCCAATGTATCTGACCCTTAAAAAGAAGGGCAAGATATTTGTAGAATTGGAGACAGCAAAAATTCACACTTTTAGTATACTTTCTTTGCTTCTGACTTTGAGAGGACCTATTCTATATCAGTAATTAAAAAATCAGGTAAAGATTGATGTTGAATGTAGTGTATTATTGAGGAGTAATGAAGAAGTTTAATATATGGTATGCTATAAAATATATTGATATTAGGGTGCTGTAAAATGTGAAATATTTGGCCTAGGATTTAAAGGCACTGGATGGTCTTCCAGCTAAAGAGCTTGACGCAACCATAGCAAATAAGTTTAAAACAAACCTGATAAAAACATAGTTGGCTGAGTGTCCAGACCATTTTAATCTAGGGAAAATTTTGGTGAAGACTTGCGGTTTTGCGTTTCAGTTGATTGAAAATATGCATGTGCTGCAGTTGATCAACAGTTACTCAGGAACTGGAGATAAGGATTGGGTAATCCTTGTTAGTCTGAAGACAAAACTTGGAATATGCCAGTTCCTACCTTTTTATTTGTTTTTTGATTATGGAAAATAATAGAGGAATCTTTCTGTTGCAAGGAAGTCAGAAAGATCAGAACAGGTCAGAAAGTTTTTCACACTGTGGCTTTCTATTTGAAATCTCTGGGTTTCTCTTGTGAATGTGTAGGTGTGTGCATGCCTAACTAGT